TGCCTTGTGTCAATGTCACCTAGTCCTATGTCTCAGCAGAATCTCTGCTAATGCCAAGCCTGGGGAAATTACAAGGCATGTCCAGGGGCCCTTGGCTTTCATGGTTTGGTTCCAGGAGAGAATTGGACGCTTATCTAAAAAGTCATGAGTTTCCAGTCACTACGAGTAATGAGAACTGTGTCCTCGAGAGAATACCATATATGTGGATAGAGCCGAGGAAGAAAAAGTATTGAGACGCCTCAGATTAAAGTGCACTCCAGCCCTGGGTCTTTGGGTTTAATAAGTTTTAAACCAAAATAATTATCTTCAGAGTGAAATTTTAGGCATTAGGAGATAGGAGATTATTTTGGAGGGCAGTGAGAATTTCACATTCAGACACTATGAACTCCCAGGCCTTCTGACCCTGTGAACATTGATGACATCACTGACCCCTCCCACAAAACACCCCCACACCCGCAGTGAGATGAGGATCCAAGTGTCTGAAATTCTGGTAATGTTAGCTGACTGTAGACCCAGACAGACTACAGCAAGAACGACTGAGGCAAGACATGAAGAAGGGCCAGAGGAGGGGAGAGCGGGTCGATCCCTGGCTGTCGAGTGAAGGGGTGAGTTTAGGACCCGCAGAAGGCAGGGCGGGCAGCCCCTCTGCAAGGTACCCAGAGTGCTTGAATTCATAGACACAGAATGTAGGTGTTTGCCAGGGATTGGGGGAAGGGGAAAATGGGGGAATTGTTGTCTAATAGGTCCAGAGTTTCAGTTTTACAGGGTGGAAAAAGCTCTGGAGGTGGTTGGCAGTGAAGGTTGACTGTAACTATTTTTAATACAACTGAATTGTACATTTAAACATGGTTAAGATGGTCAATTTTGTTGTGTTTATTTTATTACAATTACAAAGAAAGTCCTGCAGCCCATAGGACAGGCTCCTCTCCAGAAGTCCTAGGTTCTCTTACCATAAACTGGCTCACTGGTTGATGCGATGACTTGGTAAGTGTCATAGGACAAAGATGGAAGGATCTCTGGGCGTGGATGTGGTCCTGGCCCATCCTGCGTCATCTCACTGTGTGACGTAGCATCATGGCTCCATCTCCCAGGGCTGCCGCTTCCTCCCTTGGGACAGTGTTGGCCAGGAGGGGGTGACTTCCCCATGTGAGCTCAGCTTAGCAGAGACAGTTTCCGTAGCCATCTTTATTTCTAACCTAAATTTCCTACTGCTTAATCATTTCTCATGAATCTTCCTTTCTGGACCCTAGGTCTCTTGACATCCCCTGGGCAAACATATTTAACTTGCTTAAACTGTGCTGACCTAAGCAAAACAGTGGTCCAGATGGCATCCACAAGGCCGTGTTGCTGCTCCAGACACCATTCTTTTTTTTTTTTTTTGAGTTGGAGTCTCACTCTGTCACCCAGACTGGAGTGCAGTGGCCACTTCCTGGCACTGCAGCCTCAACCTGCTGGGCTCTGGCGATCCTTCCGCCTCAGCCTTCCAAGTAGCTGGAACTACAGGTACACTCTACCACATCCAGCTAATTTTTTTTTTATTTATTGTAGAGATGAGGTCTCACCAAGTTGCTCAGGTGGGTCTCAAACCCATGGGCTCAGGCAATTCACTCACCTCGGCCTCCAAAGCGTGGGATTACAGGCTGAGCCACCGAGTCCAGCCCAGACACCATTCTTAGGGTGACCAAGATACTCCCGGTACCATGGAACTATATTCTTTGTGATGAAAGCAGTTCATTAAATCCATTCCTCAATGTGATTTTGTGTTTCTAACTTCATAAAAAAATTTGTAGAAATAAAATCATAAATCAGAAAGACAGATTTTCTCCCAATTCACACAAATGTGGCCACGAACTAAACTAAATGTGGCCAGCACCCCAGCCTTCTGAAGTTGTTGGTAGCCTGACCCTGACACAAACAGTGGCTGATACAAATGTGTAGTTTAGTGTTGGAAGAGGCCTTGGCAATCAATCTAGCCTTCCTATTTTTGTGTTATTCTGCAAATCTGTTAAGCTTATTTTCCTTGCCTTCAATGTGTCAGAACCATGCCGCCCACCACTAGAGACCCCCTTCCAGGCTGACATCCATTTGTTAATCCACACCATTGTTCATTGCTCAACCAGCTCTGAATCCACTGACTTGTGCTATGCAACATCCACAATTCTCCCATTCCCCCCTGGAGATCATGACAAAATTTCTCAATTTTTCTCCTTTTTCTCAAAATGTTCTCCTTTTTAGTCAAAATGTTCTCCTTTTTAGTGGTGTCATGTTTCATATTATCAGCAGTAACAGTTTTTTTGAAGGCTATCAACTTGTATATCAACCAGATGACCCCATGCAATTGTGTGGGAGTGCATGCGCCTGGGAAGGGTGTAAGCCAAAAACATGATGGTTGGATTAGGAAAATGGATTATAAATGTTCTTGAAGTTTAATGTTAGGTACGCTACTTTTTTTTTTTTTTTT